TAAAGCTTCAGCATCTGGCTGGTGTTTTACCAAATAAATTGTCTTCGAATAAGGCCTTGTCTTGCCTTGATTGTAATGTGTCTAAATCTCATAGACTTCCTTTCACATTGTCTAATGCTTTTGTCAATTGTCCTTTTGCTTTAGTTCATAGTGATGTATGGGGTCCCTTTACAGTAGATAATGCTCCATTTCGTTTCTATGTTTTGTTTGTGGATGATTACAGTAAATTTACTTGGGTGTATCCTTTGAACTACAAGAGTGAGGTGTATGATAAATTGCTTGTATTCAAAGCATATATTGATACTCAGTTTCAGACTTCTCTTAAAATACTTAGGACTGATTGTGGCATTGAATTTGTCAATAAAAGAATTGATACTTTTCTGTCTTCTCATGGCATTATTCATCAAAGTAGTTGTCCCTATACTCAAGCTCAAAATGGCATAGCTGAACGCAAACACAGACACATTATTGAAACTACCATCACATTGCTTCATCACTCATCTGTTCCAATTAATTTTTGGTTTGATGCTATTGCCACAGCCACATTTCTCATTAATAGAATGCCTTCTAGTATTTTACATCACAAGACACCTTTTGAAATGTTGTTTCATAGCATACCTGATTTTTCTCTTTTCAAAGTGTTTGGTTGCCAGTGTTTCCCTTGGTTAAAGCCTTATGCTCCTCACAAGCTGGCACCAAAATCCATGTCTTGTGTTTTCTTAGGATACCATCCTACTATTAAGGGATATAGATGTCTTGAGCCTCTTTCTGGAAAAATCTACATTTCTAGGCATGTCATTTTTAATGAATCATGTTTTCCTTTCTCTCAGCAACAGTCCTCAGTTTCCTCTTCTTCATCTTCAGATTTATCACCTCTTACATCCTTTTTCTGGCCTTCTTTACTCAGTTCTTCATTTACTATTCCTACTCAGTCTCCTTCTTCATCTGTTTCATCTCCTACTCCTTCTGAGCCCTCTTCCAGATCTGAGCCTACTCCTACTCGTCCTCTTCCTCAGCCTATTCCTATTTTCTCCATTACTATTGATTTACCTCCTCATTCTCTTCCTTCCTCCGTGTCTAACATACATCCCATGATTACTAGATTTAAACATAACCTTCCTTACTGTTTTTCTGCTAAAGTTTCTCTTCTTGAAACCGAACCTACATCTGTTCATGATGCTCTTCACTCTCCTATGTGGTTTCAAGCCATGCAGGAAGAATATCAAGCTCTTCAACAACAAGGCACTTGGGACCTTGTTCCTCTTCCTTCTCATAAAATTGCTATTGGGTGCAAATGGGTTTTTCGCATTAAAAGAGATTCAAATGGTACTATTGCTCGTTATAAAGCTAGATTGGTGGCCAAGGGATTTTTACAATAAGAGGGTATTGATTTCCATGAGACTTTTAGTCCCGTGGCTAAACAACCCACTATTCCAATCTTTTTAAGTGTTGCTCTTCAATCTCAATGGTCTATCAAACAGCTTGACATCTCCAATGCATTTCTTCATGGTACTCTTCAAGAAGAGGTCTATATGCTGCAGCCTCCAGGGTTTGAACAATCTTCTACTCATGTTTGCAAACTCAAGAAGGCCTTGTATGGTCTCAAGCAAGCCCCTAGGGCTTGGTACTCCACTTTTTCAACTTTCTTGCTTTCTCAAGGATTCACCAACAGTCTGTTTGATGCCTCTCTTTTTATCAGAAAAACTTCTACAAGTCTCACTCTGCTCTTGGTGTATGTTGATGACATCTTATTAACTGGTGATGATTCTGCTTTCATTGATCTACTTCTTCAACACATGCACCAGTCATTTTCCATGAAAGACCTTGGTTTTTTGTCTTATTTTCTGGGCATTTCAGTTCAGTCTGATGAGCATGGTTCCTTTTTATCTCAAGCTAAATATGCTGCTGCATTATTGCACAAAGCTGGAATGAGGAATGGCAGACTGCAAACCATGTTCCTCTCCTATGGTTGTTAAAGCTGTGTGTTCTATAACTGATTCTCTACCATTTGCTCAGCCCTCATTATATCGAAGTTTGGTTGGTGGACTGCAATATTTGACTATCACCAGACCTGATCTCTCCTATGCTGTTAATCAAGCATGTCAGTTTATGTCTCTCCCTACTAATGCTCATTTTCAAGCTGTTAAAAGGCTCCTTAGATATGTTAAAGGGACTCTACATTATGGTCTCTTTTTCACCCCAACTTCATTTGCTCTTTCTGCATTCTCTGACTCTAACTGGGCCAGTGATAGTCTTGATCAAAAATCAACATCTGGCTATTATGTATATCTCGGCTCAAACTTGATTTCATGGTCCGCTAAAAAGCAAGCAACTGTTTCTAGATCATCCACTAAAGCTGAGTATAGAGCCTTAGCTCATGCCACAGCTGAGCTCACTTGGATTCAACAATTGCTTAAGGACTTCTGTGTTTCATCTTCTACTGTTCCTGTCATATGGTGTGATAGTTTATCTGCCATGGCCTTAGCATCCAACCCTGTTTTCCATTCAAGGTCCAAATATATAGAAATCGATTGTCATTTTATTCGGGAAAAAATGGTTGCCAATCAGATTGAACTTAAGTATATTCCTACCATGGATCAGGTCGCTGATATTTTCACAAAACCTCTTTCTCCTTCCAGATTTCATTACCTTCGTGACAAGCTGTTAGTGGTTTCTTCCCCTATTTGCTTGAGGGGGGCTGAAGAAGTATCATCCTCTACTCACCACATTCAGCCCTCTGCTCACTGCACTCAGCTTTCATCACCATCTGCTCATAGCTCTCATGGACAGTTGTCTTTGTCTGTTAGAACTGCACCATCACAGATCTGTAAACCTAGTGGAATTAGTTGTGGTGGTTAGCTAGTTTGTTATGAGTTAGTTAGTTTGTTTAGAGTTAGTTTCAGATTAGATATTTTGTATGATTTAGATACAGTATATGTATGGGAAAGAAATAAATTTTCTCGTATAATCCTGTTGATCAAGTCTGCGTTCCTCTGTACGTCGTCACTTTATCACCTGAAAACACAAACGTGAGCTAGCCGGCGGGTGTGTGCCGAAAACCTCTCTGATGCCTAAGTCAGTAAGCTTGACATATAGACAAAAAGCTCCGTGTATTCAAAAAGCAAAGTTGTGTGTTTTTTTTTAACCTCTCCAAAGGTGATGTTTGTGAGCTTTTATAGGTTTCGTGTGGCACAATCCTAGTAGGACTTCTACTCCTCCATGCAGAGTCCTCCTAGGATTCATACTCCTGAAAGATAATGCTTATCCTTCAACACCCCCCTCACTGCTTAAACCAAGTGAGATGGTTTTATCATGGCCGAACTCCAATATGACCGAAGTAAATATGTCTATGCATAGCCGAAGAGTAAGCCGAACTAACTCTTCCTTTTAATGCTCTTACGTCGGCTCCTCATGCACAACCCATGGCGTGGTCGGACCGAACTAACATGTCGAGACTGGTGTAACTCCAAGACCGGTTTAACTTCAAAGTACCGTTAGACCGATCTAACTTCAATCTACTGTCAAACCGGACTAGATACACGGCCTTAAGACCGGACTATCGACAAAATAACCACACGACCGGAGTAATTTACATGGCCATTTTACTCGGCCTTTTATACTGCGGCTTATAATGGCCCATTACCTAGCTCGGCCCAATTTTCACATAAATTACCCTCTCAATTGCCCCTTAATTCCTTCTGCCTAGCATGATTGGGATTACCTGTTTTATTAGCTGGGCTAAGGTCTTCTAGCCGAGCCAAAATCCTTTATCTTTTCCAACCGAGCTAAAAACCCCTTAGCCTATCCAACCGAGCTAAATTCATGCCGGGCTCTAGCTGTCCCGTCCAAACGTCTTTTCAATCACAGCAACTGAATCGTTTCTTATTCCAATGACACGTGGCAGGCGCTGACTGGCTCAATGCAACTGTTACGCCGCCTTCATACTCCGCGTTTTGTTTTGAACAGTCCCGCCCAAATTTTGGGCTTTCTAACAAAAACAAACCCTGAGGCCAAAATCCCTCCACTTTTGCTATTCATCTTCTTCCTTTTCTTCGAGTTCTTCACTGTTCTTCGTCTTCTGAAAGAGTTCGTCGTTTGTTGCCTGTTGCTTCCATCTCCAGTCCTTGCCTACTCATCTGGTTAGTATTGCTCATCTACTTTGTTTTTGTATTTTATTTTCTGTGTTTTTGCAAAACATCTTTTTCCATTTCGCTTGGCTCTGTACTTTTCTGGAAAAAACTTAGCAATAGAACACGAGTACATGCAATATCCTGTAGAAAACTGCTCTTTGATCCAAAATCACGATGCAACCAAACTAGGACACTGTTTAAGCTAGGTAAAAGTTTAGCCAGTTTACAACCGGACTAACACTTCCATGTTTACACCAGTAGTTTTAACGAGTCAAACCACTTCTTGCTTTACCTCGGCCAAGGTTACCAACCGAACTAGGCCTTTGGGCTAAACCAGCTTTCTTAGTTTTTTGAGAGCTGCCCCTAGACGATCAACCAGTCAAACAGAACCGTTCCCACAACCGAGATATCGAGACGTTTGCCAAGGCCGAGGTAATAAAACCCTGCTCAAACCGAGCTACCAATCACCTTGAAGAAACCGAGACAAAACCTGTAGCATCCTACATAGTCGAAGTAGGATATCTTTTTATTTTTCTTTTAATTTGTAGCACAGCCCAATGATCTGTGCTTAACACCTTTGTTCTTCACTTTGCAGACTTAGGTTGCCCAGGCACTCCTCTGCGCGCTCAACCGAGCTACTGAGCACAATTTTTGGATCGAACTTATTTATTCATAATTTATACCATAAAATGGGGAAGTATAGGTTTCTTGTAAATACTCCGGGCGGTCTAGCCGAATTCAGAAAAGACTACAATATACCCGATGACGTCCACCTGATTTTAGCCGAAAAAGATGTCATACCTTGGGGCAATGAAGGCTTTGTCCCCTTCACCCTTTTGTCCATAATTGAAACCGGACTACGATTTCCCTTCACTCATCATCGTGTCCACACCCAAAAACCATATCGGGGATCAGAATTGCTTGTCCGGGAGTCGATGATCTGAAGGTGAATGTTTCAGCAGCAAGGTGACCGACACTGAAAGAATTGTCTCCGTAAGACATGCTATACTCACAGATCCTCTCATTGTTGGTACAAGTGGAGGGATCATCAGCCCCCAGGATTTCACAAAATTGTGATTGACACGATAACTCTTTGTATGTTGATGAATGCTTGGGATCAAAGTACGGTGAGTTTTGCTTGAAACATCGAGTGCAAGGCTTGCATTGTGTCCACGTAAGATCGCTACCTGTATCGGCGATCCCAAACAATGGAACAGGCGGAGTTCCAATGGATAACTTCATGATGTACTCTCCACTGGCGGCAACAATTTTGGATTGGATACCATCAATTGAAGATTTTAAGGTCTGTTTGAAGTGACTGGCACGAGAAAATGAGCGATGAAAAGAGTTGCTGAGGCGGTTCAACTTGTTGGTGGATGGGTTGTAGAGTGGAGAGAGTGGGGAGTCACGGTGGACGAGTTCAGCGGTGAAACCACTACCACCACCACCACTGCCACTAGTCTGGGCTGCAATGGGACAATTAAGTACTATAAGCGGAATGAAACAAAAGAATGCCAAAAGAAAGAAGCCAGAGAATGAATTGAAAATGGCTGTCATTACTAAAATTTAGAGAGAGAGAGAGAGAGAGTGGGGATTTTTTTTTTTTTTGGGGTGAATAAGTGGGGATGATTAAACAGCTCAAGAATTGCACCATTTAAATAGCTAACTAGGCAGATGGTGATAGAGGACAGAAGAAGCAAATAAAGGAGAAAATGGAAGGTCAAAGGGTGTGTTTGTGGTGCATTCACTCAAGTGATTATAGACCAAAAACATTGGAAACAAAAAATAAGAGTAATGTTAGAGACCCCAAATATTCTACCAAAAGTTTTACCAAATATCTCACATGGGTTTTTTTTTTTTTTTTTTGGGGTGAATAAGTGGGGATGATTAAACAGCTCAAGAATTGCACCATTTAAATAGCTAACTAGGCAGATGGTGACAGAGGACGGAAGAAGCAAATAAAGGAAAAAATGGAAGGTCAAAGGGTGTGTTTGTGGTGCATTCACTCAAGTGATTATAGACCAAAACATTGGAAACAAAATAATAAGAGTAATGTTAGAGACCCCAAATATTCTACCAAAAGTTTTACCAAATATCTCACATGGGTGTGGGACCCACACAATGTGGGTCTCATGTGGGTCTCACAACCATGTGAGACATTTGGTAAAACTTTTGGTAGAATTTTTAGGGTCTCTAGCATTTTTGAAATAATAATGTAAAATCTCTCAAGATATTTATGATATCATTTCTTAGTAATGTTTCCTGCTCAAGTATTTCCAATTTGGAATGTTTTGACCAGATTTATTTTGGTGTAACTTACTATTACATCAAGTTTAATATCGACATAACAAATTTAAATATTTCTTTTTAGTATTTTTTTTCTGAGCATATATACTATGTATGAATGGTTTTTAGATTGAGAGAATTTTGAGTATAGCTTGTTATGGTTATTCATTCATTTCTGATTCTGTGAATCTAGTGCATAGAATGAGACGTGATTCTAGTAATAAGAATTGATTATAGTTAATTTGTTAGTAATGTACTAGCTATATATATGCATTCATAATGGTTAATTCTTGCTTGTTTTTTCAAGCGGAAATTATTTACAATAATGTTATAAAGGTAATGTTATACTATGTGCAATTTATGACATAATTCAATCATATGAGAATCATAATTATTAAAAAAATGAGTTATAAATAAATACCACATAAAGTATAACTAAAGAGCTTTTGAATTATAATAAAAAATATATTATAACTAATATTACACCGAGTTAATATTTAAAGAATTGATAAACATGATAAGTTGTCAAACTATATTTAATAAGTTAGATTTTTTTTTTAATTTTTTTGAGATGGTATAATAAGTTAGATTTCATATTCTAATAATATAAATTTCATTATTTTTTCTATTAGGCCATGTTGATATCATTAGAGTGCGACTACGGTACCACCAGCTATATGAGTATTGCATTTTTTAACTCTTGGGAACTTTTTAATTCTTGCCTCTACGATACAGATCAAGTCATTTTTTTTTTTGCATTAAAGCGTAAGAATATTATGTTAATTATGCAAATGTATTTTAGGTTAATTGTGAATATTAGGTTGATTGTATTTCTTATTTTAGATTAGGGTTAGGATTGCTATATATATTGGTTGTAATCTTTGTATTAGCACAAGTTGAATATACAGAATTATTCAAAAACTTACATGGTATCAGAGCCACATCCGAAACCCTAGGTTTGGCCTTGATCATTCGAAGTCCTTCCTCTGCGTTCACGCCTGCTGTTCGAAGTCTTCTCTAGGTTTCTCCGAAGTTGCGAAGGCCTTTTTGTTCTCTAGTCTTTTTCACAGTTGCGACTTAGGGTTCGTAGGTCTTTCTGGTTCGTGGGTCGCGATCATCTTCAGTCATCATCAGCAACTCGCGATCAGCTTCAGCCCTCTGCTTCGTCGCGACTCAGTGCTGGTACTTTTGGTTCGTGAACTTAGTCCCTCTGGTTCGCAAACGTCATCGTTGTGCTTCTGATTCAGGTCGCGATCATTTTCAGCTGTCGTGACTCACCTCGCGATCATCTTCAGCCATCGCGACTCTGTTCTGGTCTTTTGAAGCTTCTTTAGTTCACAATCAGTCCTGGTATTGATACATATAACTGATTTGCTGGTATTTACACTTTGACCCCAAAATTTCATTGATTATTACACTTGGACTGGTTCTCTCGTGACTCGCCTTCTACTACGTGGCTGGTCATCTGAGTGACTAACCCTTTTGGTTTGCATTGTAGAGCTCTCTGACTGTTCTTTGATTCGTCTTCACTGATTGCTGGTTTGTCATCTCTGCTTCTGTGGTCTGGCTTACGACAAGTCACTTGTGATATTAACTTTCAGATGTCTCTAGCTTCGAATGAGTGTGCCTTCTGTCACCAAAAGGGCCATTGGAAATATCACTGGCCCAAGAAGGGATATCTGTGTGGCTTGTCTTCTTAGCAATCTCGGACCCAGTTTTGCCTTTCTTCTCTGAGTAATTTTTAGGTTTCCGTCAGTTCTACTACATCTGCTCCAGCTCCTGATCCTGACTTGGTTTCTTTGAAAGCTTAAATTAATCAGCTTCAACATACATTGTCTACCTCTCAACCCTCCCCGTCTGCCTCCATTATTTCCTCTCTTCAATCAGGTTTTCCTAGGACTTCTTCAGGTATCTCATCGTCTGTCTGGATTTTTGACTCTGGTGCTTCTCATCATTTGACTCCCCATCTCTTCTTACTTCAAAATTGTACTCCCTCTCCTTCTCCCTCTCTCTCTCCTATTACTGTTAGGGCAAATTACATATACCCCCTCAAGGTTTAGCAAAACTACAGATACCTCCATTGAGGTTTGAAAAATTACAGATACCTCCTGAAGGTACTATTTGCATAACAAATTAGGGGGCAATTTGTTATGAAAATATAAATCTTAGGGAGGTATCTGTAATTTAGCTAAACCTCGAGGGAGGTATATGTAATTTGTCCTTACTGTTAATGCTGCTAATGGATCTGGTATGTCTGTTATATCTGTTGGATCTGTCTTACAATCTACTATGTCTATTGTCTCTATTCCATCTGTCCTTTATGTTCCTCAGTTATCTATCAGTTTATTATCTATCAGTCAGCTTGATTCCTCCGGTTTTGATGTTGTCTTCTCTTCTTTTATCTGTTCTGTGCAGGATCGGATGTCCAAGCAGCAGATTGGGACTGGCCATATAGTTAGAGACCTCTATGTGGTGGAGAGCCTACATCTGCCTATGACACCCTCTACGACTGCCTTTTTCTCTTTTCAGTTAGATTCTCTGTCTAGTCCTTTCTACTTATGACATTCTAGATTAGGGCATTTGTCTGCTGACCATTTATGGTCTTTAGCTGAGTCTGGTATATTGGGTAAAGTTTCTCCTAGTGAACTTACTGCGTGTTGGGGGTGCAAACTTGTTAAAATGACAGCCTTACCTTTTCATAAAAGTACTTCCATATCTGATATACTGTTTTCTTTAGTTCATATTGATGTTTGGGACCCTTCTCCTGTTCTCACCAAAGAGGATTCTGCATACTATGTGTCATTTGTTGATGATTGCACTCGTTACACTTAGGTTTATCTTATGACTCATAAGTCCGACTTCTATCAGATATACCGTACCTTTCAGTCTATGATCACTACTCAGTTTGGGTCTACAATTAAAGTGTTACGGTCTGACTTAGGTGGGGAATATTTTAAAAATGATTTCTGTGTGTATTTGGCCAATTTGGGTACCATTCACCAAACTTCTTGTATTGATACATCTGTCCAAAATGGTCGAGTCGAGCGTAAACACCGTCATCTCCTTGAGACAACTAGGTCTCTTCTTCTCTCAGCCTCAATCCCAGCTCCGTTTTGGGGAGAAACAGTTCTTACTGCTACTTTTGTTTTCAACCGTATGCCTACTCCCCTTCTTTTTGGTCAGTCTCCTTATGAGGCTCTGTTCTCTCAACTTCCCAATTACTTTCTCTTTCGTGTGTTTGGGTCTGCTTGTTTTGTCTTTATTTCCCGTAAAGATTGAACCAAACTTAGTACCCAATCTATTCTATATGTCTTTTTAGGTTATAGTCCTACTCAAAAAGGCTATTGGTGTTACGACCCTGTTTTCCGTCATCTTTATGTCTCCTGTAATGTTTTTTTTCTTGAACGTATGCCTCACTTTCAGTTTCCTCCTGTCACTGCTCCAGTTTCTAAAGAGGATTTGGTTCACATTTATCCATTTCCTTCTGAGGCACCGTCTGATGAGTACATCTCCACAGTTCCTTCTGAGCTTGTTTCATCTTCTCCTCCTGTTTTACCTCTGGTTGCTTCTCCTCCTTCAATTTCTTCTCCTCCCCTATTGTTAGTTTATTCTCATTACAGGGCTCCTCCTTCACCGGTTGTCTTTACCCCTGTTGCTGATCCTCTTACTTCTAACGACTCTGAACCTGTTGCACACCGATATCCTACTCGAGCGCATCATCCTCCAAACAGGTTAGGTTGGTTTAATACATATTTTTTTGCTTTCTATTGTACTTTTTTGTCTGCTATTCACTCTTTTTCAGAACTTCAGTCTTACAAGGAGGCCTGTCAGGATCCTCATTGGGTTCAAGCTATAGAGGATGAGTTGTCTGCTTTACAAAAAACTCGTATTTGGGAGTTGATTCCTTTGCCTGCTGGCAAGAATTTGGTTGGTTGCAAATGGGTCTACAAAGTCAAGACTCATTCTGATGGTTCTTTTAAGCGCTACAAAGCTCGTCTGGTTGCCAAATGTTTCTCACAAGAGTATGGTATTGATTATAAGGAAACCTTTGCTCTTGTTTCCAAGATGACTACTGTTCGTGCTTTGATCTCTGTTACTGCTGTTCGTTCTTGGCATCTTTATCAGATGGATGCTAAGAATGCTTTTCTTAATGGCCATCTCACTGAGGAGGTTTACATGCGTTCTCCCCCTAGCCTTCACCATTCCTCTGGACAGGTTTGTCACCTTCGGCGTGCTCTGTATGGTCTGAAGCAGTCTCTTTGTGTGTGGTA